TCGCCGCTACAGTACGTCGCCCTTGGGAAACAGTCGACGCTGCAGGAAATCAGATCGCCGCTATAGCGTCATCGCTTGTCGCCCGTGGGAGAAAGCCGACGCTGCAGGAGTCAGATCACCCTAGGGAGATCTGGCCGCCACTACAGTGGTCGCCCTAGATCTGTTCGCCGCTACAGTGTCGTCGCCGCTACAGTGGTCGCCCTAGATCTGGTCGCCGCTACATAGGGACTGTAAGGACTGTGTTGGTCCTAATAAGAGGCCAAACAGTGCCCCAAGAAGTCTTACCGTCGTGGCACAGTCTTCGAGACTGTGCCAAGCGGTGGTACCGCTAGTCTGGGCGATTATACCACCCCTAGCAGGGTGCTAGGCAGTGGTACCGCCAGGCCTGGGCAGTACCACCACCCAGGGCAGTGGACACTGGGCGGTGGTACCGCCCGTGCCCGAGAAACCGGGGATGAAAAAGTTTTAGGCTCCAAGTTTGAATCAACTTGAAGCCTATAAATATCCCTCTCATCCCTGGTTAATAAACACAAACACAGAGTATTCAAAAGTGAGAAAACGCTGCTGTAATCTCTTTAGAAATTCCCTCTTCCATTCTAAGTTTAGAATTCTGTAAGAGGAGTGTGAGTGTTTGTAAGGGTTGTCTCCTAAACCCGTGATTGGTTTAGGAGAAGAGGGGTGTAAAAGGTGATTGGTTTTCGCCTATTGAAGGAAGACCTCTAATGGACGCCGGTGACCTCGTCGGAGTAGGAAGCCGAAAGTGGATGTAGATCACGTTGACCGAACTACTCTAAAATCTGATTTGCATTTCTATTGTTGCTATTTACATACTGCAAACTACTTTACTTAGTCACTACGCTTCCATACACTTTTAAGTTAAGTTTCCGAAATCGTTTTCAACGTAAACAAATTTTATCGTACGAATGTTTTTGAAGATGTGATTTTTTTGCTGCACTAATTCATCCCCCCTCTTAGTGCCGACCCCGTTTCTAACAGGAAGGTATTCTTTTTTGAGAAGAAACATCTAGATCTTATTATATATTATTGCTAGTGAATAGCGTCTGGGTTGCATTGGCTTTTTGAGGCAAGTAAGAGGAATGCACATGCTTAAATATTGCTAATTGGTGTTATCAGGGCCTGTTTCACCAACTCCTACCACATGTCCGATCATGCTCTTTGCGGAGTTTGCATGCAAAAGAAGATGGTGTTCTTGCAACATCATGATGCTGATAATTCATTGAGGCCTTTAATTTATCTGAGTTCATGGTTACTCATCACTCGTCCTGCAACTTGATCACTAATAACTTTTATCTTTGATCCTGGTGTAGGGTCTCTGAATCTTGTTTTAGTTTCATCCAACTCTTTCAAAAGGTTGGAATCTTCATAGTTCCATACAGACAAGGTGGTAAAGTTTTTGGGGTTTCCTGTGTACTATACACAAGTAGTGAAAGGTGTAGAATTATTCCACGTATGATTTCAGTGGGGAAAAAACAGCAGTGCAGTCAAGAAAACATTGTGGAAGGAATTGAAGCAGCAAACAAGGCACATGTGATTGTTTTTCTTTTGTGAAACACATGAATTGCTATCATTTGGACAAACAGTGGAACTGCGATGGCTACAGTGCAGCAATGGCTGCCTCTGGAATATAAGCCTCAAATACTATCTTGGGGATTGCTGTCAATTTTGCAGTATGCACACAAGATCATATACGATCACTGTGATGATTTCAGTTTGGTTGTATATCTATTCTTCTTATATATAGACTCTCAAATAGTTGGATATTATCCTTTACTCTCTAGACTGGCTTATTTTCACCAATTCAAGGCTGTTAAGTTCAGAAAAAAGATGGGGCTTTGCCTGATAGATTAATATTACCATTTCATCTGAACTCCTAAAACAACTCTGAAATATCAGATTGTATGTACTAAAGCAGGAAAGTCCTACAATACTTACGGAAAAAAAGGGAACAAGAATGAAGTGCAGCATCATGCTTAAGTTGTGCCATTGCTTCATTCTATATTATTTTGCCTTTCGCATTATGTTTTAGTCGTCATGTATTCAAATTCAAGAGTTACGTTATTTTAATCAGTCATTTCCTTTGTTTAAATCTACATCATGGTGGGTTTTTAATCAGTATAAGTATAATAAAGATAACTACAAAAAGTACAAGAATATAGAATCAATGTTTAAAACAGCATCCGGACGCTTGCCTAGGTGAGGCAAGGCCTAAGCGCCTCGCATAGTTACTAGGTGACGCGCTTCAGTGAAGCGTTGATAGGGCGCTTGCCTGAACCCAGGTGTTGAGCACCTCGGGCAAGCGCCTGGTTGAAGGCGAGCAATCGAACCAGATGGTCAAACTTGGTTAAATAGTGACTTATTTGGTTCAATCGTACCAACTAAGCATAGTAAATAGTAATAGTAACTCCCCTACCCATTAACACTAGGTACTTTGCCGCTTTTGTCCCACCGTTGCCTTTGTCGTTGACGCACAGGCTTGATGCTTCCTCTACTATCGATGGACAGGTCCGAAGCTCTCACTACTATAGCTTTCGTGTGAAGTTCCCTCCACTATCATTGCTTTTGTGTGCAACTCCTTTCACCATCGAGGGATAGGACCGTAACTTCCTCCACCATCATTGATGTCGTCCTGTCACAGATAAATATATTGTAAACACAAGACGTTCGATGTAATGCTTGTATATTTTCGTATCTTTCGGTTTTATTTATGTTTTGTACAGTATGTAGAGGGCTTACAGTAGGCTTGATAGCCCTATTTTGGTTGTCTTTTGTGGTCATTTTAGTCTTCTAAATCCAGGTTATGTTCAGTCGTTGCGCAAAGACAAAACTGTCCAGAAACAAATCATCCAAGCAACCATTTTGGGGGGTTTTCTAGCTCCGTAGAGTGGTGCGGAGTGTCAGCCAACACAGTATGCAGGAGCTAGCGGGGTGGCACATGGTTGGATGGGCCTTTAGGTTAGTATCTAGGATTGCTTCGTTGCCTTGTTCTGCAGTAGTGTGATGTGGGGACTTTTGGCCACGATGAACCATCTTGAACCCTTTGTAATTTGCATTGCCTATTAAGTGTTTGTTGAAATGACTACTTGTTAGATTCTGAGTTAAATTCTTCTTCTAACTCGTCTTCTCTTTTGCAGGTCCTGAAGGAACCATAAAATGTTTCAGGGAGGCTAACCCTTTGTGGATAGACACGCAATGGTGCCACACGATTTAGGCACAACCAGCTAAGTTTGTGACGGATGGTATTAGAGTGGGAGAAAGAAGCACACTTAAAAACACTTGGTATACAAACGTAAGAGACCTAACAAAGCTACATTGGGGGTAGCTAGCATGAAGAACGCATAGCACACAAAGGTTAGGATAGTTGAGTTTAAGCTATGAATCGATGTTAGCAACTAAACTTGATGGTGCTTAAGGCAAGTAGGACATTTGGCAAAGGATAAGATAGTGCAAGGAGGGATGGGTTACTTGGCAACCGAAAGAGTTGTACAAAGCTCATAGAGGTAAAGAGGAATTGTTAACTCAAAGAATTCGGTACTCATGCGAGAGCTTGTATGCGAACAACGGACTGTCCGTGACCATCACAAGGCGATCAAAATTTGGTGCCATGAAGCATGAAAACTCTCTTCAGCATGGGAAGGATACATTCATATGAGGCTGAAGTATATGGTAGGTTTAACTTGTTGCTAGGCTTTGAGGGGCACAATAGGGGCTGTATTGACGAAGAGTCGTAATCTAGCAAGTACGTTTACGGTGGCGAAATAGCACACAGTTTGTTCAGTAAGGCAGAGTAGTCTAAGGGGATGATGGTCTTCAAAACTTTAGAGAGAATGATGCAAAGAGAAAAGTTACTCCAACGGGATAGATATCTAGGTGGGATAAGTCTTGTTCTTCCGAAAGAGAATCATGTGCAGCGAACCGCACATGTTGTGGGGGTACCTTAAGACGACAACTCTATAAAGCTTAATGGATTGAGCAAGCAGTGATGAGTCATTGCATGATCTCGCATGAGGTAATGCATTGGTGGACGTATTACGAGATTAAGTAGGGGAGCAGCCTTAGAGAACACCAAACGAAGGCACATTTAAAGCCGATATAAAGATTGGACTCAATGGAGGGTTGACCTGTCATATAGTGGGCGCGAGGGCCACCATTAACTCAATGCATACTAAGGAGCAAAGCAATTTGGGTGGAACTTAGTGAAGTGCCCAAGCCACATGAAGGGAGTCGACATAGAAGATGAAACATAGAATGGAGGCGCAGAGCTTTTCTTGGATAGAAGCCAAGGACATGAACTCTTGTAGAGGCAAGAGCGAGATTATGTCATTCCATGGGTCCCTCATTCTGATGGAGCAGACTCATCTTGCATGGTGCCAATGTCAGAGGGAGCTTCGAGGCACACACACTTTATCTTGATGAAACAATTGATGGAGGAACTAAGACAACTCAACTTGCGGAGGCGAAGTTGAGGTTAGAAGGGCTTGTCATGATGTAAGAGGATGCAGAGATAGGTACTCATGAAGAATATGTCATAGTGTTGCCATTTGAGTTGCCGCAAAGGAAATTGTGCATAGTGAAGATTGTGCTAGGGGCAGGGGTCGAGGATCCAGATAATGACATACCAATTTCAGCAAAGTCGATGGACTTCGAGAGCTACTAGGCAACAAACTATCCTAGAGTTGTACTTCGTCCATGTGTAACTCGAGAGCGGGTAGATAAAGGTCGATTGCCAAAGGAGTGAATACAATCGGAGGTGGCGAAAGCCCTGCGATTGCTGGCAAAGGCCATATCTAGAGAGATCGCAGTTCGAATTTATCCCACAAAGATCAAAATGCAATAGAGATATTACCAGGAGGCGACATAGTGCAACGGATTGTGGTAAAACAATTCAAGACAGTGTGACACGCACATGGGAGAAGTCCCGTGAGGGACTTGATCATACAGAGGTATATCGGAGCGGCTAGAGAGTTAGACTGTTCTAGAGCTTATATTCGCTTGAGGGAGACCAACAAGTTAGAAGACAAGCTCGAGTGAGTGAACGTTGCTACCAAGGACACAAGGAAGATTATAATCAGCGCAAGCCCTGCAACATAATGATAGAGGCTATGTATGAGAGTTATAGTCTTTCTTTCTATCAACCAAGGGAAACTACTTGGAGAACACAAAGGTGTTAAAGTAGGGGGTCGAAAGGGGCAAGAAAGCAATGATGAGTCTAGAGGGACTTAGCTACCCAAAACCAAGAATTGATTTGGATGGAGGTAGACTCAGAGGAGTGCCATAGTGCCGCAGAGGTGAACCTAATGATCGTAAAGAAAGGACGCAGATGTGAGGCGATAGATAATAGGGTCATGGGTATGGTAGTACCCTGGTACCATAGAGGCAAAACTTCCATAGCATCAGCGATCCCTTGCTCTCATGGAGGGAGAGTGCATGGTCGTAAAAGGAGACCGAAGAGGTGGAGAATGCAAAGGTAAATTCTAAGTATCTAGATAATGTTAAAGGGTAGAGGCTAGGGAATTTCGTAAGACTGATGTCTACAGGCTTCTCATCAAGATAGCCAAAAGTGGAGGACTTTTGGTCGATGTAGGAGTGCTCAACCAAAGAACGGAGTAGGTAGTATGAAGTGCTATACCTTTTCTACTCAGAGGAGTAGGCGACAAAAATGATAGAGAAGATGGTATAATCATAGAAGCGGCTAAAATTATTAGATATTTGTTCCAAGTCAGCAAAATTTTGTTCTTTTCGGGCAAAACTGTTTGCATTTCATAAGTTCGATAACAATGATGAGGCGAATCGCAGTAGCTAACTCAACGCAAAGAGTGTAAACACTTCGGGTGCTTCAGAAGTGTGAGCAAAGAGTAGACAAATGCTAGTAATCAACTTGATGCATGAAGTACAACTCTCGAGGAGGTGAGCGAAGTTAAAGAACCTTTGCCTTCTTAACTCTTAAGAGAATGGGTAAAATTGAATACCTCAGTTCTCTTATTTATCCAATAGAGGAGTTCTACACATATTCAAAGATCCTTCCAAGAAACTTAGTGGGAAATAATAATTGTTAAATTTTCACTAATTGTGATCAATTTTACTGAGAGTAGATTGGCTATCTCATTTTCCAACATAGTGTCAATTAAAAGTAGAAGTAATGTAAACCTATTTGGAGGTGACAACTAAGTAAAAGTGGAATCGATGGGTAAATTTTACGAAGGAAAGACCTTAAAAACTTCAAAATCTACAAGGTGATGTTTGTTAAGGCTCAAATAGGTATCCACCCAATTTAAGCAAAACGACGTTTGAGAGACTAGTGCAAAATAAAGAAGATCTTTTTCTTCATTCGAAGGATTCACAGGAACCAAGATTGATTAAGATAATTCGATCGACCCTACACTATAGTCAAAGTAATTGGCAAGTTGAAACAACATTGACGGATCAAAGTTTGATTACTAACAATAGCGATGGAGAGTAGTTGTGAGTCAAGAGGTACATTACAACTAGAGTAAAAGATTGAAGATTCAACAAAGGTGAGGAGATGCAACGTTCGTAAAGGCTTCGACGAAGACGTCGAAAGAATAAGTGGGGGAGAATGTCATGGACAGATACGTAAATAGGGTGTTCGATGTAATGTTTGTGTATGTTTGTGTCTTTCAGTTTTGTTCATATTTTGCACAACATATAGAAGGCTTGCAGTAGGCTTGGTAGCCCTATTTTGGTTAGCTTTTATGGTCATTTCAATCTTGTAAACATAGGTTGTGTGTAGTCGTTGTGCAGAGATAAAACTGTCTAAAAATAGGCTATCCAGGCAACCATTTCTGGGGTTCTCTAGCTCCGTAGGGTAGTGTAGAGTATCAGCCACTCAGGAGCTACTCGGGTGGCATATGGCTAGATGGGCGTTTAGGGTAGTGTCTAGGGTTGGTTCGTTTGTCTTGTTCCATAGTAGTGTCATGTGGGCACTTATGGAGACTTTTGACTATGATGGATCACCTTAAACCCTTTGTTACGTAATTATTCAGAGCTTGCAAAGTCTATGTTTGTAATTTACATTGACTATCAAGTGTTTATTAAAATGACTGCTTGTTGGATTCCGAGTTAAACGCTTCCTCTAACTTGTCTTCTTTTTTGCAGGTCCTTAGGCGACTGTAAGAGGTTTTAGGGAGGCTAACTATTTGCAGACGAACACGCAATGGTGCCACATGACTTAGGCAAAATCAACTAAATCTATGATAGTCTGTAGCTTTGTCTACTGCTATCGTCCTCTCCTACCTAACGTTCAACCATCTGTGACTCCTTTTCTCCCCCTCTACTATTATGATTACTATTAATAATGGATTAAATACTATTAACAATTGAATGTTAATCCTAAACTAATATTAAAACTACTATTATCATATAATAAACTAAAATTGATATTAACCCTTAGAACTATTGACCTATTTCGAACTAATTCTTAATTAGAATTGTTATTAGTCTCTATTTAGCAATGTTAATCTCTATTTATTTAGAATTTTATCAGGGTTTCAGGATTAATGGTAAGTGTACAAATTAATGCAGAAGATTCATCAAAAATTTTAATTTAATATTATATTTTTATTTATTTAATTATATTTATCATTTATATTATATATTTTTTAATATTTTAATATTTTAGAGTGTCTTGCTTCGCTCGAGTAGGCACCTAGGTGAGCGCCTAACGCCTCGGACATTTTGGAACCTTGACGCTTAGCATTTTTAAAAATACTGTATAGAATAATGGCTCAACAGTCACTTGACCTGACTCAATTTATACTCAAATTTGCAACTTCATACATTTAGAGGAATAATGTTTTATTATTCCTTCAGCATATTTAGGTATCATGATATATTGGTATTGGGATCACTAATTATCAGCTTCTTCTTCAGGTTCCAAAAGCTTCAGAAAAGCTGCCAAGAAAACCTTGTATGATACTGAAGTGAGTTGTGCTTAACTTACCCTTTGAAACTCCTTGAAATTTACATTGAGTTGCTTCAACTACTGTGATATTGCTGATTATCATGGAATCAAATAGACTTTAGTTTGCTAAAAATATTGAAAGTACCTTTTCCTACCACCTTTCTGTCTTTGGTGTGAGCACTTGCATTGGATCTGTAAGACTGTCTATGATTATTACTGTGACAAAATGCTGGAAGCCAAAAGCAGAATGAGCTAAATTTTACAGGGATAACAGTTTATATGAATGCAAAGGTTCATTTGCTAAAATTTGTGTAAGTTTGCTCATAATTAAATTGTATTATTTCATATTACTTATCTTTTCTATGGTCTCCTGAAATGTGACATTTTATGCCAGTCTAAGCAGTATATTTGGATGAATTATACATATATATTTATACACACATGTGATAAGGATGTATGTATATCAGTATGTGTCTTCTATGTCATCGTATATCACCATCTAGGTAAAACTTGTATGGAATACACAACTATATATATGTCAGATTCTGATAGAGGCACTGCTATCAAATTAGTAAAACTAATTTCTGACACTTGGGTATGATGATGCTTCTATGTAGTTATACTTTTTGAAATACCATATGATGACTACAGCAATATGTCATGGTGTTATTTTTCATACATTTCATCAGGTCCACCAACATTACCTGTGTACTAACATGCCTTCTGTCTCACCCTTCCATTTCTCTAAACCATAGAACAGGGCACATGTTTTCGTCCAACTCTATATTCTATGCTAGAAATGTAAAGTGGTGGGTAAATATGGTGTATATGTACATGCACATTGAAAATACAGTGCAGTACATGATAAGAGAATACTTACCTCAAAATTTATGATTCATTTCTTACACCATGTTAGATACTCTTCACAGCTGATAAATACCAGTGAGCAGCAAAGTTCAACAGCATGAATTATGAATAGGAAGCTCAAGAAGGAAAAGATAACAATTAACACTATAGCATTAGGAGAAAAGATGAGTAGACTTGTACCTCTTGTAAGCTTTCTCTGTAAATTTGGAGCAACAGCCAGGGAGAGAACCAGACATGCAGCCTTGTGTTGCTGAGTGAGTGGTTGAAACTGCCAGATGATCTGATGAATCAAACCAAAATATGTTCTCTTCTTCCCCCTCCTCTCTCTTGGTGTAGGGATACATGTAGATCTTTTGGATAGCTAATCTAATTTCTACTGACTTTGATTCTATCACTTTGATCTATGCCTGTTGTGTAACCATATCTTGTTGATCATCATTGTCTTTCTCTACTGCCATCTCTAACTGAAGCAGAAGAGGCAAAGTAATCTTCCTACAGCTAATGCTTATGGTAACTCTGAACCATGACCAGATCATGCTGGCAGCTTCATCCTCTCACACCAACAAGCAAATTCTGAGCTAACAATTGAGAAGAAGGGGAATTAGAACCCGAAGAAGTCAGCTGACTGATAAGGGGAGAGAAGATGAGTCTGCTCCATTGCAAGCCATGCATGGTGGTGGTTGCGACAAGGAGGCCCTCTAGTTATCCCTTGTGAAACTGCTTTGCAGCATCCTCTTCTCTGTCACCACATAAATGCACCTCATCACCATCAATCCTCTTGACTTGCAACGTATTACTTTGGTGTTCTAATTGGTGCTCTTTGGTCCCTTGCTACAGCTAGTGACAGTGACTCTGGTCTCTCTATTCAAACCAATGACAAGAACAACTCTTCTCCTATATTTGGACTGACAAGGTTTTGTGCTTGCTGTCAGTTACCTAACACAATCTTCCTTCTTTCTTCAGACTCGAATTAGCACAGGCTGAGTTGTCTCTGTAGCTGGATCAATCAGAAATTAATTTTTCCATCAAGGTAATAAAATTCTGCTCATAACACAACTTGTTTCACAATATACATATGATGACAGTCATTCTGTTGGAAAAATTTTATTGGTTTCATCAGCAGTAGCAATAATAGAATGCACTAATGTGGAGGGCATCATGCAAAAGTCTGTGAAGTCCTCTTTGGTTTTTGCTTATATCTTATTGTTTTAAGAAATTATCCCCATTTGACATATAGAACTGGACTTACTGATATTCACTGGTTGCTTGCAGTAAAAGAGTTATTATAAGTTCTTCAACCTTTTCCTACAAAGGCAGAAAATCCATGACATTTTTTGTTCTTTACATCACAACTACCTAGGTAAACAACATTCAGGTATGCATGTAACTCGATGTCTGCTTGCACTAGCTGAAAAGCTTATTTCACAGTGATGAATGATCTAACAATGGAGGCCTGAATGGTGACCTATAACATTTCTAAGAGAGAGGAGAGTGTTAGCTGCCTTGGTTGATGTAAATAATCCTGTGTATTAATGCCTTATTCTACTTTTATTCTTTCTTTCTTTTTTTCATTTTCTTTACACTTTAATCTGAAGGCAAACAAAAAGAGTTGTTTTCTCACATTTGTGGCATATTTGATGAGGATAATTATAAAATGCTTAACCATGAGGCTTTCCATTTTATCTCAAAAGCTGTAATATTAGAAGAGCTATATATATCTGTGTTGTTATATATCTCTGAATGAGAATTACTAAAAAGCTCGTCTTGTTTCTGATTGTACTAAGTTTCTGCTATCCCTGTGATTGTTATTATATAACTGTGAATGCAGATCCTCCTGGAATATACTCTGTTGAGCTTCTCATATTTTTTTGAACAGCTTCTGTGGCAAGTTCATCTTGCAGGTCCTAAATGATAGATCTGTTCTAACAGTACCGTATGGCTTGCATTAATGAGAACCCTACAAAGGCTCAGACTTTTCCCTGTCAAGCCAAAATATGAGGTATGCTTCTGTCCATGCCGAAATGAAATTTCCAGTCACATTATCTGAGTTGCAAATGCCAATTTGCTTAGTGTGTAATGCATGGATTGGTGGACTGTGTTGGGAGGCATTTTGTGTAGGCTTGTCTTTTCTCTAGGGTGGTTCCAAAGTCTTGCATTTGACAACCATTAATAGCCTAAAAGGAGGGACCATATGCCTTTGCATTCGATCAATGGATAGAGGCACATGGCTGCCCTTTGTACTGTGGCCAGATGAGTCCCCTCCCAAGGCTATTAAGCATTCATTTATGGCTGCAAATTTTGTGGACAAAGACTTGTGGACTTCCACCTCTTCCAACCCCTTTGCTAACCTAAGGCTTAGAGTACACTGTTCCTCCATGTTTGAGCACTGCTGGACTCGGTGGTTGGTATTCTTTGGACTCTCATCCATGTTATCTCCAGCTAACTTGTTAGTTCTGGAAAAGCTTAGTTCAGCAAAGTCACTATTTAAGCATGTGATGCTTGGATAGGATACTGTCACTGTCACTGCTCATAAAGAAGCTGAGGGCTTAGGGACTGAAGACTTTCTCTGAATGGGGAAGATGATTTATGGAGCCTAAATATGTGGAGTTAAACCCTTCTTGGTATGTTAAGGTTGGGCTTTAACATTAGATGGTCATGGAGACTTCTGCTTAAGTCTATGGATGAACTTCTGACTGAAAATTCTATTAATCATGTTGGTAATGATTTCAACACAGATGTTATTAAAGATAGTCGGCTCTTCAATATTTCCTCGCAGAAAAAACCTACCTACTTGGTGGTTGAACCTAAGCTCAGCACCATGAGGTTTATAACATTTATCCAATCGGGTGGTTGGAATTCTCAGTTGCTATTGAAAGCATGTTTAGTCTTGATTTCGTTGACATCGTTGACAGGGCAAAAAGTATTATGATTGTTATCCAGTCTTAGTGTTCGATCATGATTTCATTGATGAGGTCAAAAGTATTAGGATTGCTGTTGTGTTGCGATGATGATAGATCGATAATTAAGGTTCGATTCCATGGGCCTATCTTCTGCTAAGTTAGCATACAAATTCTTTAGAGATGCTTGGATTTTGGAAAAGTAAAAGTGGTTGTGGAGGATTTCTCTATGCAAATTCCTTGTGGATTTTATGGAACCACTTTTTTTTCCCCTTCTTTTGTAAATATTTTATCAAGGATTGTTATACGTGATGATTAGTACTTATCATCGATCGATCATGTCATGGATCACTGGTTCAATATAATATTATTGAATAGGAAAGTAATTTCTGATTGCATAGCATTTGGAAATAAGGAGGCTTCAAATGTTCTTTACCACAAGGTAAAGGGTCTACAGAAGGAAGAACCGTGTAAGAGATGCAGAGTCAAAATCGAAAAACCAAATCTGGGGCTTAATTTGATTCACTTGGAAGGAAAAGGAGACACAGATATGCCCCCAATAAGGAGCCTTTTCAACTAGGATTTGCTTATGATGTCACTTAATCTTAGTCTTAATCTGCAACGATGACTCTGTAAGCATGTTTTCAAGAACCCTAACAACAATATTATTGAAAACCCGATAAAGATACGAAGTTATAAAACCTTTGCAAATCTAAGAAGGGTAAAAATAAACTTAGGGTTACATTAAATCCCGTATCCTGAAGAGCAAGGAATGGTATATTTTGCTTGCAATGAGTAGGCAAAAAAATTGTCTAATCCGTGAAATAATTTCATGAGTTTAATTGACAATTTATGTTGTAAACTGACAAAAAAACACCAAAGTCTTCTGAACATGAAATTGTCCCATGTAAATAATAAGATTAATCATTATTTATAACAAATTAATCAAAACCTTTATTAATCATAAAAAAAAATAAAATATTAAAAATATTCATGTGTGAGATAAATAGAGATGGACCGAAAAGGATATTCTCATATGGCTAAGGATTGGAAGGGTCGATTATATATACTAAATTTGACTTATAACCTAGATGACTAAGCCTAATTAATATCTAATTCATAATCAAAAGTTCGACTTAGACTAATCATCATTCGGGTTCTGATAGGAAAAGAGTATAATTTCCATCATCAAAGTCCCTCAAAGTTAATACAAGGCCAGTTATACAGCTTCTTGATCATGAAAATGTTACCCAGACAATTAGAACCAAACTTTTAATTGCTTATATTTCTACTTGAACCCTTAATTTAACAGAAGTCAGTTTATTAGAAGGAAGAGCTACCTTAATTGTCACAGCTAATTCTAAGTGCTAATAAGAACCATCGATCATAAAACTGGCAAGAATCTAAACAAAGGGTACGACAACTTTGACAGCATTCATGGTCCAGTTCAGGAAAGGAGTCATTAGCCGGTGGTAGACTTGGTCACCACTGGCTAATGATAAAGGTTTAGGTTCTGTGGGGAGCTCTACATGAGGGAAGAGATGGGATTACCGCAATGTTATGTTCACAAAGCCATTCAAATAATCCAGTAATTATACATCATAGCTAGTGGTGTGTGCCCCCAATAACTATGGATACCCTCTCAACTTATCTCTTCCTCGTCAAATATAGATTTATGAAGGTTTCATGATGTCAAATGTACTATGATCCGATTTAATAATGTCGTCATAATACTATTGTATGATATCATTATATTTTAATTCTAACTAAAGCTTTTTGCATAAAAATTTTCTAAAAAGGTGAACAAATTGAGGTCATCATCTTAATTGAGAAGGTGACGACCGACTAAAAAGAATGAGTAAACTAAGACGACATCAATATGCTCAGACTCTATAGGCTTCCCAGTGGCAGATCGATGTAGAGAACTGTAAGCAATCAGATCATCCTTCGCAACGTTTGTTCTCGATCTGATGGCTTAAAAGAAGTCAACAAAAAATCCATATCTCGGAGGCACAAAAGACATGATTGGATAGACATATACACCAAAGCACAATTGACTGAGAGATTGAATCAATTAAGTCCCCAGCATATCAACAATGATTTACTGGATCATTTGTTTATTTCTGCAATCATATACATGAAAATTATCTCCCGAGAAAGAGAACACTGTCATCTTAATTGTTCTTATTATTATCCTAATGGATGCTCCACGTGCAACAGCTATAATTGCGTCGCATTGAATGTGCGAGATGGAGACTGCTCATTAATTGTCGATGAGAGGAAGCAGATAAAGCAAACCATTAATTGCGAGTATAATCAATACTAATAATGATTACTTACACAGTGTCTGTATGAAGATAACATGCTATGCATGTTATTGATGTGTCTGACCAACAAATAGTAGGCAGGATAAGAACCCTTCAGGCCTGGCAAGTGTCCAGCTTGCCAAGTATGACACTATGCTGACACTGCTACAGTGTCATTTACTGTTACTGCTTCCACTGCACCTCAGGTCGCTGCATGTCACAGAGAGTTGATGCCCACAGAACACCAGAATAATTATTGCCTGCACCAGCATGCACCACCAACCATTCGTGGAAAAAGAAAGAGAGAGAAGACAAAGAAGATTAAGAAATGGCTATGTTATCTCTGTTGTTTTCTGCTTGTATTGATCCGCTCGGGCATTGAATCAGCTTCAATCTCTTGCTCGCCCTTGCCTTCTTACTCCATCGCCAGTTGCTCATCAATGTGATGTACAGGTTTGCCGTGTGTTAATGTGTATCGTGATTCCCAGGTTGAAGGGAGAAATTGAGGTCGATGCATGGCTTCTTTCTGGGGCCGTTGACCGGCACGTGCGCCGTGCACCTGGGGCACCGCGGGTCCACCGTGGAGATGAGCACGTAGAGGAGGCACACCGGGCATGCCGCCACCGCCATAACCCGCCCGCCCGTGTCCTCGGCCTGCCGCTTGGTAGATGAGGAGGTGAACGGCGGGGAAGGGGAGAAGCCGTCGGGCCGGGGGAAGAGGGGCTCGGTGGTGGCGACGAGGCGCGACTCCCGTTCCAGCGCGGACTTGACCTTCTCCAGGGTGCAGACGCTCTGGTACTCGACGTGGACGGCGGAGGTCGCCGCCTCCAGCTTGAGGCCGAGGGAGGCCATGGAGGGCGACGGCGGGGAGAGGTTGAGGTCGTGCAGATTGCGTGTGGCAGGACTGCGCTCGCGCTGTTGGAGGTACGTCTTCCCCGACTGCAACCATGGAAATCGGGGTGTTTCTTAGTCGAACTGAAGCAAGAACGACGCAAAAGCTCATCTTTTGAGCCGAGAAATGATCCAAACCAACGATTTCTACATTGGTATTTGGGGAAATTTTGATTCTTGGCAAGGAAACCAGAGATTACCTTTTCCTTTTCCCCACGAAAAGGAAACAGAGGAGTAGACAAAGGGAACGAGGATTTCGAGCGGGTGCAAAGGTTGGTGATCCGAGAATCAAGATCTTCGCGCCGCAGAGATCGAGGGTTTACTACCGGAGTGTTCGAAAAGCCAATCAAGAACGAGATTCGAATGACCGACGCAAAGGTTCGCAATTGATTCTCAAGAACAATTCAAATCCCGGCAAATTGCCTCGATCAACAAGAAAGACCAGATTTTCAGGTACCGTAAGAGGAGGTCGACCGGTCCCAGTCGCAAGGAAGCGAGATGGATAGAGCTATGAACAACGACATACCGAGAGATCGAGGCGACTCTCCCCGGCGGTCGGGACCTGAAGCTCGAGACCCACCTCCCCGCCGAGCAGGTCACGCGTGACGAGCTCCCTCTCGCCCTCCCCTTCCTCCTTGCATCCCGCCAGCGTCCGCGCCGAGGAGCTCACCTCTGCGGCCATCTCCACCACCTAAAACATTAGGCTGCCCTTTTGGTCTCCGACTCCCGAAATAAGAATATAACAGAGGCAAATAATAACTATAGTGAAGACAACTTCAAAGAAATACATTAATTTTATTGGCACCATCTAAATAATTTTTATGGAAAATAGAGAATAAAATAATATGTATTTCTGAAAATTTCCAAAACTATCAAACCTACAATATAGAATAATATATCAAATAATCTGAAAAATCATACCACAAATACAACTAGTTAGATTTATGTTATGAGAAGAAGTTGACGTCCTGATCAACTCGATATGGTCCAGGCCTATATGGACAAGGTTGTCTGGGTGTCTCCGAGATGAAAATACTGAATCTTCGAGGTACCACTTACATGAAGATCGAAGTCGAGAGAGATCTCTAGACTCGATTTCTTCAATGCACCACCAAGATACTTGGTAGTTTGTCTTCCCAAGTACCTTTCACTCCAACAATCTACTTTTTTAACCCTTTTAGAATGACTTGGTTGATGACCTAGGTGAGACAATTGGTCTAAGGATAAATTATCGAGCTAAACTTTAGTTGAACTTCGTAGGATTGACAAATCATTGAGCTTTGTATTATTAAATTGAGTTTTGTTGTCGGAGTTGAACTTCGAAGGATTGACAACTCCGAACTTTTGGCGTACGTCCTCTCCTTCGGCATATTGCCCGATCCATTGACACATTTGTTGAATCTTAGATTTTGATGATTAAATTAATTGATGAATTAATGACCTAATCCATATGTTGAGAAAAGTGATGCAGGATTAACTACGATCATGAAAAGGCAAAACAATTAAAGAAGAATTGAATGTTGGGCCGGAGTCAAAGATCAGGCATCGGATCGGAAGAATCATGGGAAACACTAAAAGTTCGGATGATGCATTGAAAGTTCGCTGAGAGTTTACCGAAAACTCATTGGAAGATCGCCGGGAGTTCGTCGAAAGCTCGTCGGAAGATCACCAGAACTTTCATCGGGAGTTCGGATGAACAATTGATGTACCAATCAACTAGGATTGCTTGCATTGTAATTGTTTAACCTTAACTATCATAGTTTTAAGACTTTAATTTGAGTTAGTTTTGAAAGAAATCCTACTAACTCAATTAGGAGCCAATTGGACCCAAAACAGGGTTGAATTGGGCCGGTTAGATAGTTTATTGAGCCACTTGGAGTCACACCAAGTAGTGGCACCGCCTAGGCTAGGCTATAGAACTACTTGAGGCTTGGCTTCCCAAGTGGTTTGGGCGGTGGTGTAGGAAATTCTGGAGGTGACATCATATATGCAGCGGAAGAATAGAAAATAAAATCCTCAAATTTTCCAAAGATGTGTTCGTCGTCATGCGAAGATTGGTATGCAAAATCCACAAAATTGAAAACCAGACGTGAGATAGTTGTGTTACCTAGGGAGATCGTATATCCCTGAATTCCCACAGATCTGTTAGAGAGGATGAAGGAGGTCAAGCATCCTCCTCTCTCGACACTCGATAGCCCTCATAAGGTTGGCTACTACTCCTGATGACAGACTGTGCTAGATTTGAAACCTCCAAACCTATAAGTCCGATATTAAAGAGTGGAGTACTCATACAGGACATCCTTGGTGTCTCAAATCTAAGTACTAGATACACCACTGGGGTGACATAATCATTGTGTGATAAGAAGGCATCATCAATCATCTAATATTCAGTGAGCGAATCAATCAGTGAACTTATTCTCCAATGAGCACCTATACTGTATCCCTAGTGTCCCCACATGAGTAGCTATGAGACCAAATGCATTCATCATATGGATGGATATATAACACACAAATTTGTCCGATTATCTCAATGTCCCTCTTAAGTAACCTATGACCGGAATTATTTACGATTTGTGTTTAAAGGTGAATCGGTCTCATTATCGTGATCTCATCATGATTTGATTCACATTGCATAGATCCATGGACATCACAATATATTCATACAACATGTAATATAAAGTGATAAAATTGTAGGGAAATCTGTGTGGTAACATCACATACATAGTCGAAGAACATAAAAATAAAATCCCCAAATTTCCCATAAATTATGTTTGTCATCGTGCGAAGATTGTATTAGGAAAAGAGTCGGCACTAAGAGGAGGGGGGGGGGGGGGGGGGGGGTGTGGGGGTGAATTAGTACAATGGTAAAATAACATCGATTTTGGAAAATCTCTCATACGTTGAAAATTGATTTCGGAAACTTAACTTCAAAGTGTATTCATAAAAGTATTGAAGGCAGTAAGCAAGTAAAATATTTTATAGTAAAGTAAATTTCTCAAAACGAAATGTAAACCAAGTTTATCGTGGTTTGGTCGTCATGACCTACATCCACTCCGTCGATTCCTCTTCCGTCGAGGCCACCGGCATCCACTATCGGTCTTCCTTCAATAGGCGAAGACCAACCACCTTTTACAACTCGATTCTCCTTTTACCGGGTTTAGGAGATAACCCTTACACCCCCACTTACTCCTCTCTCAAACTATTATAACACTTAGAAGAAGGAGAGGAGTTCACACAAGATTGCAGTAGCGTTTCTTTCCTTTTTTACTCTTGTGTGTTTTAACCAGGGATGAGAGGGGTATTTATAGGCCTCAAGTTGATTCAAACTTGGAGCCTAAAAATATCTCATCTCGGGTTTCCTGGGTGCTGGGCGGTACCACCACTAGTGTCAATCTGACACTAACACTGTACTAGGCAGTACCATTGCTTGGGAGGCTGTGCTAGGCGGTACCACCGCCCATATTGGTAGTACCATTGCTTGTAGCTTCTCGGAGGCTGTGTTTGGGCGGTACCACCACCTGACATAGTCACGGAGACTATGCTATGACGGTGCCACCTCTTGGGTCACTGTTTGGGCCTTTCATTGGGCCCAACACAATCCTTACATGGGCCCAATTGGCCCCTAATTGGGTTGGCCCAAATCCATTCCCAATTACGTGCTAGCTATGAAATCTAAGGCATACTTTAACTAAACAAGTCCCTAGGTCTTGGTTTCTTCCGACGATCTTTCGGTGAACTTCCGATGATCTCCCAACAAGCTCCTGGACTTCACGATGATCTTCTTGGCGAGTTCCGATAAGCTTCTTCTGGCAAGCTCCTGGACTTCTCGGTTGATTCTTGTAGAACTTTCGACAAACGTCTAGACTTCCGATGAACTCTCAAACTCCCAACGAAATCGCGTCCTTGACTCCGAGTGTTAGAATCATTGCAGATTCTAAACTTGGGGTTGATCTCTTTAGGGGATCAGCCTCCTTGGAACTCTATAGGGGTTCCTCCCTCCAAGTTGCTGCGCAAAGGCTGCAGAAAAGATTCATCTATTGCTTATGAAAAGAGGTGGAATACATGTCTATTTATAGGGATTCTAAACCCTAACTCCTAATAGGACTCTTACTTAAGAATCCTACTTCTAACCAACTCCTAATAGGACTCATACTCAAGACTCCTACTTCTTTACAACTCCTATTAGGACTCCTATTCAAGACTCCTATTTCTTTACAACTCCTTATTCTTCTCTAAGAAATAACCTCCTAACCTTAGCCGGCCACTTCACCTCTTTAATAGGGGTCGGCTTAGGTAGGTTTTACATGAATGTCCCTCTCAATTAGGACTCTCCTAGCTAGAGTCCTAACAAACCCGCCCTCTTAAAATTAGCCTTATCCTCGAGGCTGACGATTCATGAATTTTGAGAATTTGATCTTTAAGTCATCATAGTTCTCCCAAGTGGCATCTTCTATTAGTAGGTTTGCCCACTATATTAGTAATTCAGTAGTGGATCATCGTCGTCGAGTCACGATCTGTCGATCAATAATGACACTTGGCTAAGTCTGAAGTTCTCCTTGGGTAGTCATATTTGGTGGGTGGCTTTGGGCTGTCTCCAAGCACCTATTTACAACTTCCGTTTGGCCGTCGGTTTGTGGGTGATATGTCATACTTCTTTTCAATTTAGTACCCTGCATATGGAATAACTTTGTCCAAAATCTTCTCGTGAAGATGCAAGTAGAATTTATCATAAGTACAATGCGTCCCTTATAGTGTAATTCTTTTGAGTCCCAATTGTAATGAGCCATGGGGCTTGGTGCTTCCTCCAATTTTTTTATAATCTTACTAGTCTCTGAATCTTCCTGCCATTCCATCTTAATATCCTTAAGAAAGTCGCTGGTCGGAAGTGAAACGGTCGAAACTTCAACTTGCTCGGGTAGCTGCGAAAGCGCATCTGCAAGAACATTCTCTTTCCCCTTTTGTAAGTTATTTCATAATCAAATCCAAGAAGTTTTGTTACCCATTTTTTGCTGCTTAGGGGATGATATCTTTCGCTCCATAAAGTACTTGAGGCTTTTATGGTCAGTTTTAATTTGAAATCGTCGGCTAATCAAGTAGGGTCTCCACCTCGTTGTTGCGCGCACAATGGCGAGCATCTCCTTATCACATGTTGACTTATTTTGATGGGAGGGAGATAATGCCTTGCTAGTGTATGTGAGTGGTCGACCATCTTGCATGAGAATGGCTCCAATTTCGACTCCAGATGCGTCGACCTCAATAATGAAGGGTCGGTTGAAATCTGGTAGTGTTAGCACCGACGTCATCGTCATGGCTGCCTTAAGTTTGTCGAAGGCAGCGGAGGCTCTGTCCGACCATTGGAAGACATCTTTTTTCAGCAAGGAAGTAAGTGGTGCACTAATCTCTCCATAGTTTTTCACGAACTTACAGTAGTAGCCTATTAAACCCAGAAAGCCATATAGCAATTTTATGTTCCTCGGGGTCAGCCAGTTTTGCATTGCTCCAATTTTGAAGGGGTCTACTGCCACACCTTCGTCTGATATGATATGCCCAAGATATTCCACCTTCTTTTGAAGAAAGCAAAAATTCATAGTGGTTGTTGTGTGTTCAAAAGGTGGTTTTCGGTATGTCTTCTTCGCATACTCGTATTTGATGATACCCGGATCGAAGGTCCAGCTTTGTGAAGATTTGTGCTCCCTTTCATCTAGCAACTCATCTACTACTGGAATAGGATATTTATCCTTGATGGTTAT